CAGCTCAACAGTTATTTTCTTAGAAAAACGGAGCAAATGTTATGCAACTGTGTAGCACCAGAGGGTCAAACATGGACCTGAGCTGGGCTACCAGCTGCACACAGGGAGCCTGGAAAAGCAGCATAAAGAAGCAGTAGGGCAAATAAATTGATTAGCAATTGCCTTGTGGGGATTCTAGGGAAGGTTTTGAAGAGCAAAAGGACAGAGCTCTGCTGGGATGGTGGTGATTTCCAATCAGGCAGGAGTAGGGCAGCATGAAAAGAGGCAAATGTGGGCTTATTTGACATTGATTGTTGGATGCTTGGCCTCACAGGGCAAACACAGACAGGAATCACTGTACTGACAAGGTACAGGAGGAGATGAATAAGGAAGCCTAAACCATAAAGGCCGGTCTCCATTTTCCAGCCCAATTTCCTTTTGATGCTACAAAGAAGAGGGAACTGGCAGAAGGCCGACATGGTCAAAGCGAAGGGTTAGGCAAGACATCTGAGGAGTAGAGCACTGTCTGGTTGTCAAGATACATTTCAGCAAGGCCAAAGGAAAGAAGGATGATTGCAGTAATTGGAAGGAAAGCCAAGCAGTTCTTAGGTATTTGAAGGAACAGGAAATGATTTATGTGGAGCTGTTAGACATAATGAATCTTCCTGACCTAGATGTGGCTGCGTGGGAGAAGTAGAGAGCAAAATCTGTGTTTATTGATCCATGGATTGTTGGTCCACCATGCAGGTAAGATGTTGTAGTGCCCTCAGTAATAAAGAAATAACAAGAATTAGTGGAAAGAAAAGCWTATTGGACTTGCATTGTCAACTCTACCAGCATTTTTCTACCAGTCTCACAAAGATCTTTTTAAAAACTTTGAAGAACATGTGGAAGCAAAACAGACATTTGTCAGTCCTCAGTGGAAAGATGTAAGCTGCATCCGTGTGTTAATGCAGATTGAAATAATTTCAGATGGAATGCAGAGGGAGGGGATCAAGGAAAAAGCTTTGTAAGGAGCACTAAGAGCTAACTAGCTGGGAACAGGTTGGGAAAACTGTATGCTCTTGCATATTCTTTAGAAAGTAGCCTTTAGAGTAGTAGGAGGAGAATGAAAAGTTCTGGTCTTGCTAAGCACACCACCACTGTGCCAACAGCTGTTAGACCTTCGAGCTGTCTGGGAAGAGATCAATAAAGAAGGGGGAAATAGGGGAAATTCCCCTGAACTGCAGCAGGTTTAGGGTGAAACTGGAGAGGAGACTCTCCCAACAGTRTTGGTAATGGCAACAGTTAGAAGTGAGGTTTAGATGAGAGGGGAAGACAGGTTGAGGCAAAATCTAGAAAGTAGTGCTAGGAATGAGCAGTTGTGGGGTGGCTGTGAAGCCTGTAGAAAAAAAAAAAAGTTATTTTTTCAATAGCTATTTAGGATCCCAAAATTATGACTACTTTACTTTTTTTCTCTTGTTTTATTAACTGTGTTATCTAAAACATGGCTTCTGTTTTGTGGTTGTTTAGGATCTGCCCTTTATGAGATATTTTTGCACAATGTATCTTTCAAAATCTTCCTTCTGTTTATCACTACCTCTGCCCTTTTTTTCTACCAAATGTCATCTATTTCATTTGAGAATTGTACCTTGGGGTGCTTCAATTATGTATGAAGATGGCATATTTGGGATGTACTATTCACAAATGCTTTCAGTATGCCATCTGAGCTTTGAATATGAGCAGAATCACCAATATTTCAGTTTCTAGGGCACATTCTCTTAAGTGTGCAGTCAAGTTGTAGCTTTTGTTCCTAACTGTTCAGGTTTTTACTCAATTTCTATGAGACCTTATGGACTTTCCACGTGAAGGTAATGCAGACAGACTGGATTGAAAGTATCTAGTGCWGTAGGGCAGCCATAGATAGAGAGATGGCAGAATTGAGCATGTCATTGTTCTGATTAACAACAGATATTCAGCAAATAATTGAGGATTGAATAGAGAAAGCTCCATTTCATCCCAGCACTGCATGTTAAAGATCTTCAGTCTGTAGTTGCCTCCTAAGATAGATGATGTCACATCTATACAGGTTATCCCAATTGCTGCTGTAGATCAATTGTTGCTGTGACCAGCAGCCATTAGGAAAAGACAGACAGTATAAGAGATCTCTGCAGATATTCAAAAAGCGCTGCTTGGTCTGTCACCCACAGAAGCAGAGGATGTTTGCTGCCAGCATCTCCCATCTGTTACCCAGCAACGCTTGTTGAGCCCGTACTTCTGATGGTATTTTGCTGTTGGGGCACATGGAGAGGGCACTAAACTCCAGTATTGTCCCAGGACAAACCAGAAGGTCTAGTGAATGGTTTAACAAACATTTTGGGGGAGCAGTTTCTGACTGTGCCCATGAGGTCTAATAGCCCATTTCTGGCAATTTGTGCTTTTTCTGCAGGTTGCTGACTTTTAAATGCTGCTTCTAATGCATTACAAGAAAAGAGGGAATGCTGTGGGCTTCAGTAGGTAGGATCTTAATGGGTTGAGTTCGGATGAAATAAGCTGGATGAGATGGGAAATAAAGGCCATATGGGATCCTAGGTGTTTTCAAAGATATTCAAAGCTCTGCCTTTGCTGGTTATCTGTACACAGCCACTGTTTTACAGCAGCCTTTATGCCTTCCAACATTGTGCTGCTGTCACCCATCATCTCAATACAGTTGGGCATGATAAAGCTTTGAATGATGCTTCTCCAAAACGAGAAATACTGTGCCAAGAACAAAGGCTGTTGTTGGATAGGCAAGGAAGTGCCCAAAGAGAAAAAAAGGGAGGTATATTTAACATTGGAGAAGAAGGAAAGATTCAGCAACAGGTATGGACATTTGAGTAAAGGATGCTGGGGAGGTGAACAGAGCAGGTGCATGGGGAATTCTGCTAACCAAACCTATGAAGTGTTTGCATTCCCAAATTAAAATAGTAGTACCTCAGTGGACAGATGCCTGGTGGGCATGATCTTTAAAGTAGCTGCTTGCAGCCACAAGCCAGCTCATATTGAGGGACCAGCTGGCACACCAGAGTGTCAGAAGACTGATACTTGGAGGCACAGCACTCCACAAGGAACACAGAGTGACCATGAAGCAGGAGAGATTCTTGGCTGGCTGAGATTTACTGGATTAGGGGAGGTAGGTGTACTTTTATAGGCTTAAAGATATTCCTGCTTTGTTTTCAGCTCATCTGCTAATCCAAGGTCAAAATTAACCTTCTGTCTCCAGTGTCCTGTCTGTGGATTTTGAGGGTTTGATGTGTGGTCTCTGTGCTGGCACACTAGTAACCTCAATTTTGTTGCCAATAATCATTAAATACCTTTGCTGTAAATTAGGAACAATCTGCTGTTTGAATGTGTTCCACTGTTAAGCTGCTCTCTGGAGCCCTGATTAATAACCTAAATGAATTACCATAATTACCTAGTCCTTAGCCTTAGAACTGGAGAGAGCACAAACTTGATAGCTTTCAAAAACGAGTGGAGCAGAATCAGGGAGTCTGCAAACATTGCTGTCTTCGTTCTCATCTGGAAGCTGTTTCTGTCAATAAAAGGGGTTTTGTTTTTTTTAAAAAAAGATAAATTATGTATTTAAGACTTGKTTTTAATATGCACTCTACTTTTTGGAATTAGTATGCATTTGTCCTTGTACCAACTTTTTTTCAGCATGTCAGTTCCTTCAAATTATAAATGACATCTAATTTCCCAGAAATTTCATACATAACACACCCTGTTGAGATCTGTTCCATGATGCATGAATTGCTAGGAAATATTACACAGAATACCAGTGCCAATGGAGACGCACCATCTAAAATAGGGAGAAGCTGTTTAATTGAATTTTGTTCTTCTCCAAGATCATTGAGTTACAAATTACTGGGAGCACTATTGCAAACATGAGCATTTTATTATCATTGCTATGAATTTTCATTTGTAACAGTGTCTGTTGGTAAGAGAAATAAGCTGTACAGAAAAACAATGCTGCATGTTTTGCATGGTTGAAGTCTCAAACCTAAATTTAACAAAGTTATTGAGGATACAAGTAGAATTTTCTGTAATCCATAAAAGATTTGAGTGTGTCGGAGCCAGTCATGAAGTCAGGCCTGGGCAAGTTTTTCTAAAAATTTGAATTTTGTGTATGTGTTTAAATCTTTGCAAGTTCCATGGCATTACAGTAGTGTTTGAGTAACAGAGTACAGTGTTTGTTTCTTCCCATTTCTCTTTCCAGCAGGTTATTTCTGCTAGCTCTTAGAACAAGATGAAGGTTGCATGGCTAGTTGCCTTTATTAAGTGTTGAACTGGAGTGGGAGTTGTGCTTGTAAAATATTGTCAGTGGAAAAAAAATAGGTTTGTGTACAAATGAAGGGTTACACATTTTCTCCTTCTGCAGAGTTCAAACTTGGTGGTTTGTATCCAAATCAGGATCCACATAAAGGATCTAAGTGTTAGCACCGTGCCTGGAGAGTTTGATGAGGTTTTTCTGGCTGGTTGGGTGTGCGTTTTGCTCATTTATGGGGGTGCACACACACTTGTGTCACAGCCTGACGGTTGCTGCCAACAGGAAATAAATCTGAATATTAATGCAGTGAAGGTAATGAGCCATTTCCTTCTGGTCATCTCATACTGGCCTTTTTTGAAACTGAATTTCCCATGCTCTCCTTTTGCTGGCAGCATTGAAGCCTATACAGATTCAGTATGAGATGTAATCTCAGTTATGACTGGAGTTTTTTTCCTGCCCAGCAAAAAATCTTCAAACTGCAGAACTGTGACAGGAGCCTCAGAAGTCCTTATGAGGAGGTGAAGGATGCTGTATTTATCATTAGCTGGGCCATCTAACCTGAGTTGGTTTAAAATCAACAGCCCCTTGAAAGGGAATTTAATTAGCATTTTCTAAGAAGAATCTGCTGCCTTCTTGGCTTGTCTCAAGTTGAGCTGTGCAGGTATGTTGGGAATTGCTTTTGCACCTTCTGGATTCATTATAACCTTCTGACTTTTCTTACCATTTCTCATTTAAGATTTATGTCCATCTCAAAGAAGGGAGCGGTGCTGATGGGCTGGATGCTTTGAAGAACAAACCACAGCTTCACAGTATGGTGGCCAAAAGCCTTTGTCAGAATGCTGCTGGGAAGAACTACATCATCTTCACAGGCCCAAGCATTACCAGCCTGAATCTCTTTGAAGAATTTGAGAAGCAAGGTGTGTATCAGGTGATTCACTGAGTTTTAATGGTGATAGACCTAGAGGCCTCCTGCCACTGAATTTAAAAAAAAAAAACCAACTTCCAAACGTCTTCACTAATATTTCCATTCCTTGCATAAATTGTTCATCTCTAAGAAAACTTCACATTCATGAAAAGATACTATACAGAAGACTTTTAAAGTTGCTCTTTAAATCTTCCTCTTTAAATCTTCAAAATGAGGATGTAAAAACAATTTAAATAAGGTTATTTAAAGCACTTGCTTTTGTTCTTTGACTTAGACATGTGAGATCAAATCTCCTATGTGGCCGGGGGGACTTTTCAAGGGATTTGCCATCAGCCTGTGATTTTTCTGTTCTTGTAGTGAAAGATGAGGGATGGGATGAATCCTTAGAGATGTGTGTTAGAAATCTTTTCTTGGTTTAATATCTGTTAAAGATGTGTTTTCTCTAGAGGACATTTTATGCCTTTGCAGAAGCTCTGGAAAAGTTTGCCTTTTTTGTGTTTTGGGTTTG